ATTGTTTATGCTCAGAACTGGAAAGTAGAGAAAATACCTTCGGAAGAAGAAGTAATAAAAAAAATCTTAAGATTGTGCAGAAATGAATAGATTAATTTTGATGATTATGAATAAGGAAGAGTCAGAATATTTTAAGATATGGAACTATTTTTCTCACTGGTTGGAAGAGAGATATAAATGATTAACTTTATAACTATGTTTAAAAATGTGATGATTAGAATATTGTTTTAGCGATGAATTGGTATAATGGACTGGATAAAGATCAAGACAGAAGAAACTCATAGAAGAAGAAGAAGAACTGTGGAAGATAACACCGAGATGTCACAGGGAAGGAATAACTGATGCATTAAATGTTTGTTTGTCTAAAAAATAAAAATAAAAACTTTAGTTTTGGTGCATAGGAAAGTTACAGATGGACCTTTTTTCTGATGGAAGAAACTTGCAGATGGACCTTTGTCTGGAGGAAGAAACTTGAAGGTGACACCAAAAGATTTCTGCTGAGTTTTCCCATCAAGAAGTCCAAGTTTATTCAACATCACCTATTCTAACCAGGATCTCAGGAGAACATCTTTGGCCAACTGTCTACAACTTTATTTTTAAAGATGAACAACATGACTGAACCCACTTTGTTGGGTCCATGAAGGCCAACAAACAGAAGAAGACTCAGAATTTCCTTTGTTTTTGGTGTCTGTGGTGCATAGCGAAGTTGCAGATGGACCTTTTTCTGGACGACGAAACTTGAAGAGGAGGCAGAAAGATTTCTGCTGATTTTTCTCACCAAGAAGTCCCCTGAAGCAAGGAGATTAGGAGCCCTTCAATCTCAGAGTAATCTGAGAGGGCCAAACGGGGTTACTGCTGTACAACTGTTGTTACCCTGCTGATACAGGTAGACCTCGGCTTACGATTGCAGTCGAGCCCAAAATTTCTGTTAAGTGTGACGTTTGTTAAGCCGATTCTGCCCCGTTTCACGATCTTTCTGGCCACCGTTGTTAAATGAATCACTGTAGTTGTTAAAAGTTAGTAACCCGGTTGTTAAGCGAATCTGGCTTCCCCCTTGACTTTGCTTGTTAGAAGGTCGCAAGAGGGGGATCGCGTGACACCCCCCCCCGAGGACACTGCAACCATCATTTTGAACAGTCACTAAATGAACTGTTGTACGTCGAGGACTGTCTGTAATGAGGTTGCTTTATTTTTTTTAAACAAATGATGTAGAAAACAGTCGAGTGTTGCCTTTCCCCAGATATACTCGTTTTCTATATTTTGAAGGAAAAATACAGCTCCTATAGTCATAACGATCCCTTCCTCTTGACTAAATCATCTTTTATTTAATCCACCCAGCCACAATAATTTTCTTTCTCTGTAAAGCCCCCCCCAGTGCCTTCTCTCCTTTCAGTCATTCAAATCAGGATTTTTATCTGCTCAGTTCCTGCTCGACTTTGGACTTCCTCCAAATGAATGGTCACCTCAGCTGTCTTTCTCCATGTATTCCCTAATTTATTTATTTATTTATTTATTTATTTATTTATTTATTTATTTATTATATTTCTATACCGCCTTTCTCCCGTAGGACTCAAGGCAGTGTACAGTCAAGAAAAATATAGACACACAAACATCATAAAATTGCTAATTAAAATTATTACTTAGTTTGGTCAATTAAATAAAACCCAGAATTAGATAACATTTAAAAAATCATTCACATGTTCGTATGTTTAGCCCCGCCTGTTGGAACATCAGGGGCTTGAGGGCACGGCAGAAAGCACGGAGATCAGGGATATTCCGTATCTCCGGGGGCAGTTCATTCCAAAGGGTTGGAGCCCCCACAGAGAAGGCCCTCCCCCTGGGAGTTGCCAGTCGACATAATTTGACTGACGGTACCCTGAGTAGTCCCTCCCTGTGAGAAAGAACTGGTCGGTGGGAGGCTATTGGTGGCAAAAGACGGTCTCGTAGGTACCCAGGTCCTAAGCCATGGAGCGCTTTAAAGGTGATAACTAACACCTTGAATCGCACCGGGAAGACCACCGGGAGCCAGTGCAGGTCACGTAGGAGAGGTGTTACATGGGCGTAACGAGCTGTGCCCATAATCACCTGCGCGGCTACGTTCTGGACCAGTTGGAGCCTCCGAGTGCTTTTCAAGGGGAGCCCCATGTAGAGAGCATTACAGTAGTCCATACGGGAGGTGATGAGGGCATGAGTGACCGTGCGCAAGGCGTCCCGATCCAGAAAGGGACGCAACTGGCGGATCAGGCGAACCTGATAAAAGGCACCCCTGGCCATCACCATTGGATCCAACCTTGACGTCCTCTCCTTCCTCCTCCTCATTTTTCCCCTCCTCTCCAGAAGAGTTAAAAGGGAGAAAGTGGGTGTACTTGAGAGTTTGCCATGCTAATTAAAACTACTGTGCTGAATTAATGGTAATCCCATAAAACCCTCTGTCCCTTAAGTCTTAACCTGAATTTTCAACTCATTTCTGCTTGAAGATCTCTTTCCCACGATAACTCAACCATCAACTTCAATGAACAATTCTGACAGCTCACAATTGAGTTCAGTCAAAAACTGCTCCTCTCTCTCTCTCTCTGAGAGAGGGGAGCGGGGAGGGAGGGGGAGGGGGAGAGAGAGAGAAAAGGCCAAGCTACCAGTAGATGGCCATAAAGTTTTCTCTATCCCTTCACTACCATCTATCATAGTCTAGATTTTTCGAATCCAAATATACTGGGCCTAGACATATTAGGATTTTTGTTGTGTTTGTATATTGTTTTAGATCACTAGATGAAAAACAGCAAGATAGATAGATAGATAGAGATAATTAGATAGATGATATAGATTATAGATTATAGATCTAATTAGATAGATAGATGATAGATAGATAGATAGATAGATAGATAGATAGAGATAGATAGATAGATAGATAGATAGATAGATAGATAGATAGATAGATAGATAGATAGATAGATAGATAGATACCGTGTTTCCCCGAAAATAGGATCTCCCTGGATAATAAGCCCTCCCCCAAAAATAAACCCTCCCCAAAATATTTAAGTGCATGCGCAGCTGATCCCCACCATTTCCTCTGGTTAGGGTTAGGGAGACAGAGCTGGAAATCAGGTAAAATGGCATGAGGAGACCCGTCTTGCTCCACGTGCCCCAAAATAATAAGACCTCCCCAAAAATAAGGCCAAGCGCTTATTTCAGGGTGCAAAAAAATATAAGACAAGGTCTTATTTTGGGGAAAACATGGTAGATAGATAGATTTGTGTGTGTATTATATGTATATGGAAATATTGTCTTGACAAAGGGAAAGATTCACAAGTAGAAATCTTTGGAAGCAAACTTTTTGTTCAAAAGCTGGTCTGTGCAACAATATGCTTGTACAGATATTGAAAAGTCTGCCGCTAATGGGTCAAAGCAATGAGGCTCGCACTGGGATTGCAAGTTCCTAGAAGTGAAGAGCAGGGAATGCCTGCTTTATTTCTTTGTTAGTTTGTTAGTTGTTAGTTTGTTCAGACTCTCCATGGGAATGCGCCTTCAGAGCAGTGGTGGGTTGCTCCCGGTTCACACCGGTTCAGAAGAACCGGTTGTAGCGGTGGTGGAAGGCTTCACCCACCCGCCCGGAAGTCATCAAATATGCTCTGCGCATGTGCGAGTGAACCGGTAGCAAAGGTAAGTAAAAACCCACCACTGCTAGAGAGGCAAAACCTTCCAAAATGATTTGGATGATGGATGGTGTGTGTGTGTGTGTGTGTGTGTGTGTATTCCTCTAACGTCTTCCTATGAAGCACAATCGCTTGCAAGTGTCGTGCCTTGTTTCCCAGTCCTGCCCAGGATGCCTCATTTAAAAACAAAACAAAACCCAGAAATGATACCAGACTTTAGGATTCTCCAGCAAAGATCAAACAACACTTCTGAAGAACAATTACAGGCTAGCAGTCCTACTCGATTTGCAGGTTCTTAGCAGTAGCACACAGGATCGGGAAAAAAAAAATGTAGACCGACAACCGAGTCATCTTGCATCAAACTTACCCATTTGTAATAAAGAGAAAAAGAATTGCAGCCCAAATGTAGGAGGAGGAAAGACAGAACCTGAGGGTGGAGTCAAGAGAGTAATCAGCCTGGAATTATTGTGTTCCCACAAGCGATCCAAGCCCAACCTCTCTTGAATTCTGTTGACTCTTATCTAGCGTCAAATTAGGGCTGACCGTTCGTTGAATAGATTCTTGTGTATAAACATGAGTAATAAATCAGCTTAGCTGGAGCTTAAGCTGTGTGGTCCTGATTCTTCACACCCGACATTAACTTATCTGGTCCTTTTTTCAAAACTCAGTTTTGTTGTTCTAAGATTCCTCAAACTTTAGGAAAGTATTTTCCTTACCTGAGCCAGTTCTGATTCCAGAACTTTCTTTTTTGCTTCCTATGAAACAAATGTAAAGGGCACGGTGGCTCAGTGGCTAAGATGCTGAGCTTGTCAATCGAAAGGTCGGCAGTTCAGCGGTTCGAATCCCTAGTGCCGCGTAACAGGGTGAGCTCCCGTTACTTGTCCCAGCTTCTGCCAACCTTTGAAAGCATGTAAAAAGTGCAAGTAGAAAAATAGGGACCACTTTGGTGGGAAGGTAACAGTGTTCCGTGCACCTTTGGCGGTTAGTCATGCCGGCCACATGACCATGGAGAACGTCTTCAGACAGAGCTGGCTCCTCGGCTTTGAAACGGAGATGAGCACCACTCCCTAGAGTCGGGAACAACTAGCACATATGTGCGAGGGGAACCTTTACCTTTTATGAAACAAATGGGTTTTCTGCTTATTGCTGATATTGTGTTTTGACTGAGAACCTTGTTGGTCATCTGTTATTGTGTTACTTTATGTGGAGATATGTGGCTACATAAATCATAAACTGCCCATAGTTGCTGGGACAGCGAGATGAGAGGCACATAAATTTAATAAATACACTGAAATAAAATAAAAAACAGACTCAACTGTAAGGGAGCAACAAATACCCGTACCCTTCAAATTATAGAAATTGACCTTTATTTAACACAATACTTAAGTTTCTTTTATTTTTGTTTTGATATAAAGTGACATTTTTAGTACAGAAAAGTTACTGCTGGAACAGTATTGGTTCCTTTCATCGTACCGTAGTCCGTCTCAAGCCTCTCTCCTTTTAAAAAAAAGAAAATAGAACTGCTGTCCCTCAACTTATAAACAATATTTCCACTCCGCGTGTATTATATAACCTTTCTACATTTTTCTTTTTTTTTGTTCCTTTCTCTCTGGTATTCAGAACTACAAAACAGTATCTGTAAAACAGAAGGTATAATTTCCAACCAAGTGCTGCTTTCGAGTCATTGTGCAAGAAAAATCCCTTTTTTAAAAAAATTAATGCAAATAAAAAAGGGAAAAGAAACCCCCCTCAAAACTGGAAGGCAAGCCCACAGAACAAAAAAAAAAAAATTTTTTTTTTCTCCCCTATCTAATGAAATGTTAGGAACGTTCGCCGCAAATGCAGCTCTAAAGAAAACTTTAGCAATCAAGGTACAGTACCTACAAAACACGACATGCAATTATTTCATGAAGGAAAAAAAAATATAATAAAATGACGGTTGGGGGTGGGGTGGGGAAAGAAAGTCCTAATTTTTTTAAAAAAAAGAGAAAGGGAAGATGAAAAGGCAATATACAGTAGAGATCGATACAGGCAGGAAATATGAATTCTAACGAATTAAAAAAAAAAACATACACCTGTTTTTTTTTTCCCCCAACAGTGGTAAAACTAACAGTCATAGACGAAACTAGAAGCTTTCAGGTCCCTAAAACTGAACTGTGTTTCTAATTAAATAAAAAAAAAATCCCTATGGCTATTTTACTCCAACTTTCACCAATGTCAGTGTCCATCCCCGTTGTGTAAACTATCTACACCTAGTAACATAAACAGTCTAGCCCTAAATTATAACCCCTTTTGATTTATGGTTTTAATGCGAGGTACGAACTCAATTCTTAAAAAGAGACAAGGAGCACACTGGGTACATCATGATATTTAAATAGCAAAATTCATGCATAAAATAAACCAGTAACTTTGGACAAAGAACACGGGACGTATACACGTATACACAGACAGACAGACACAGACACACAGTGGCCTGACCCATGGAGGAATTTTTTCCCCCCTGTCAAGTACCTGTGGGGGGAAGCCCTCAAAATCCATGCATGTCATCCTGACATAAAATGGCTGCTCTTGAAGGATCCACACTTCAAGAAGAGAGTCCTTCTCACACCGTTGTCATGGGGGTGCCTGGGAGGGTGGGTTAAAGGGAGGGCAGCGGAGAACCTCAAAAGAAATTATTATTATTTTTTAAAAAATTCAAGTAAACACAAACCCAAAATCTTGGGGAGAAGGGCAAAAGGTTTTGTAAACGTAATCTAAAGGATTTCTTTCCATTTTTCTCGCAGTGTCTTCGGGTTTTTTTTTTTCTTTTTTTCTTTTCTGAAAAAAGGACTCTTGGATTTGATCGTCCACGCCGAGACAAAAATGAGAAGAATTCTGCTGTCAGTAATGCATCACTGCTTTCCAAACACGCCTCGCGGATAACGTTGCTTGTGATGCTTTCGAACCTACCACATAGGTGACTACAACAAATGGACACCCCCCTGTCAGCTGCTTAGGTACAATCTGTTGCAAAAGTTAACAGTATTTTTCATGGCATCGATCTAGGGGGGCCCAGCAGGAATCCACAGGACTTTGTTCTGCTCTTGATCCACTGTGGTCATGATTTGAGTGCAAATGACGGAAAGGGGTCCTCCTTGGACGACGCCTGAGGAGAGAAGAAGACAAGTCATCCATCTTTATTTGCCAACCAGGAGAAGCGCACAAATGAAGCACAGCTAGGCCTTGACTCACGATGGAGTCCAAAATGTCTCTTCTGTAACAAGTTGTTCCCACATTCCTATGGGGTTACCTCCAAGCATTTTCCACTTGATTTCCACCAAAAGCATCTTTCTCTCAATCTCTCCCCCACTCTCTCTCAATCTGTCTCTCTCTGTCAATCTCTCACTCCCTTCTCAATCTGTCTCTCTTTCATTCTCAATCTCTCTTTCACTGTCTCTCAATCTCTCCTCTCAATCTCAATATCACTCCCTTCTCAATCTCTCTCTCAATCTCTCCCTCTCTCAATCTCAATCTCTCTCTGATTCTGTCTCTCTTTCAATCTTCCCCCCTCTCAATCTCTCAATCTCAGTCTCTCTCTCTCACTTCCTTATCAATCTCTCTCACACACACTTTCTCAATCTTTCTCTCTCTGATTCTCTCAATCTCTCTCTCTCTGTGTCAATCTCTCACTCCCTTCTCAATCTGTCTCTTTCAGTCTCAATCTCTCTCTTTCACTGTGTCTCTCTCAATCTCCCCTCAATCTCTCTCTGTCTCTCAATCTCAGTATCTCTCTCTCACTTCCTTCTCTCACACACACTCTCTCAATCTCTGACTCTCTCTCAATCTGTGTCAATCTGTCAATCTCCCTTCTCAATCTCTCTCTCAATCTCTCCCTCACTCTCTCTCAATCTCTCCCCCTCTCAATCTCTCTCTGTCTCTCAATCTCATTCTCTCTCTCACACACACTTCCTTCTCAATCTCTCACACACACACACACACATTCTCAATCTTTCTCTCTGTCAATCTCTCTCTCATGTCAATCTGTCAATCTCTTTATCAATCTCTCTGTCAATCTCTCACTCCCTTCTCAATCTCCCTGTCAATCTCTCTCTCTCTCTCTCTCTCTCTCTGGGCAGAGGGTTGGACTAGAAGACCTCCATGGTTCCTTCCAGCCCCGTGATTCTAAGTATTTTATCACTGTATTTTCTTTTTATCTATTTAACCTTCTATCGTATTTTATTTTTGTTTTATTGTTTTCCTATGGTGGTAACCGGTGAGCTACCTATACATAAGAAGCATTCAAAGCACAGATTTGCTTGTCCACACCCTGAAAAGAATGAATCAGCTAAAATCAGATCGAGCAAGAAGGTCTTATGCAACGTTTTAATTCCGTGTAACTGAGCGTATAAGCATCATATTCTAAGCACCTCATCAGCACCTTCCTAAATCAGCCACTCCGACTCCTGGGTTTTTAATAGAACATTTTCTAAGCAAGCCTCTGCGACCTTATTTTTAAAGTTATCTGAATGGCTTAATTAACTCCCCCAGAGATCAAAACATGGCATGAGAAAGAAGAAGAAGAAAAAAAAGGGCAGGCAGATAAAAAGGAAAAAAAAAAGTTAAATGGTGGACAGCTATGCATACGGCCAAATTTAAATAAATAAAAAGCACAAGCAAAAATAATAATAATAACCAAGTTCCACAATGAAAACTCCCTAAGACCACTTTTATTTTTTCTCACTGAGCTTCCTGGGAGCTATTTTTAGCAACAGCGAGTGATAAAATTTGCACATTAAATTTAAATAGGGTTTGAAGGATGCGGTTACAGAACAGCAAACTCTCGCTTTGGCAAGGGAGCAATATACAAGAGAGGATGGCTGTAGCAACAAAATACTGTTAATTGACATACAAGAAAAACATAAAAGGTATATATATAATAAAATACATAAAAAGATTTCAACAGTTTCTTTAACGAAGTACATTTATCTGATGGCATTTTCAACAGTCATTTATTGCACAAGGAGATACCGGGGGGAAAGTTAAGGAAACATTTCAGATGTGCTATTTCCAAAGGTCCATTTAAAAAAATATGTACGCATATCCTGTTTTCCCAAAAATAAGACATCCCCTGATAATAAGCCCAATTGGGCTTTTGAGTGCATGTGCTAAAATAAGCTCCCACTGAAAATAAGCCCTCCCTGAAAATATTTAAATGCAGAGCTGGAAATCAGGTAAGACGGCAAGAGGAGCCCCATCTTGCTCCACACGCCCCAAAATAATAAGACCTCCCCGAAAATAAGGCCAAGCGCTTATTTCGGGGTTCAAAAAAAATAAAAGACAGGGTCTTATTTTCGGGAAAACATGGTAGTTGGTACACTATGCAGGGTGTGCCTGAAAGCTAATTATGGGTAGTCCTCAACTTACAACCATAACCGAGAACAAAATTTATGTTGCTAAGTGCTTAACGTTTATTAAGTGAGGTGTCAGGTTCCGATATCATCTCAAATAAATTGCACTCCCAAACAATTAATCTTTGCTGAAATATTCCATTTATTGAGTACGACAGATCTAACCCTGACTTCGTCGTAACCGATACTAACCCTCTGACCCCCAAACCCTTCCCTTTCCGTTCCCCAATTCTCATCTTCTCATTGGCCATCTTCCAAGTCAGTCTCCCCAGCTTCTGATCTCACCCCACAGGAATGTTCCCCCCACCATCCCATCTCCTAGGGGATATTATCTACAGAGAAAATAAGTAGGTAAAAAGTCAAGCCTCGTCTTTTTATGGCAGCATCAGAATGCTGACATGAGGTTTGCTCCGTATTGCAAACTTTTCTCGCCACATTTGTTAAGTGAATTGATGCAGTTCTTAAATTAGTAACCTGGTTGTTAAGTGAATCTGATTTCCTCCATGCTTGTCAGACGGTTGCAAAAGGGGATCATGTGACAAACCCCGCCTGCCCCGGGGACACTGCAACCGTCATAAATGTGAGTCAGTTATCAAGCACCCGTATATAAATCATGTGACCCTGGGGATGCTGCAACGGGCCGTAAGTGTGAAAAATGGTTGTAAGTCATAACTTTTTCAGTCCCATCGTAACTTTGAATGGTCACTAAGTGAACTGTTGTAAATCGAGCGCTACCTGTGCTTTTCTTTCATTTGCGTTCTGCTCTGCTGTTATGACTTGCAATGTTAAGGGTTAACTTTAGGGGAAAAAAAGATATTTTGGCAGCTTGTTCTTCTGAAGAAATAACAAAAGAGACCTGCAAATTCCAGATATTAAACCTGGAAGGAACAATGAGTTAACTTGCAAAAATGAGATGGGATTGCAAAGTAGAAATAGTGCTTTACACTTCAGTCTTAGGCTAAATTGTCTTTGTGAATGATAAGTTATGTAATTTATGGTAAGATCTGACCACACAGTAAAATGCTATTTAACCCGCAGTTCAGAATGTTCTTAATAAAACATTTTTTGCCATCCCATATCAGCGTATTTCTACAAGCAATAAAACAATACGTTAACTTATTGTTACATAAGCAACTTATACTTTTGGCCTGGACGATTGAAACTTCATGATTTATTTACATGACTTCTGCCGATGTTACGCTGTTCACCTGAGACCTAGCATCTCCTCCACTCAAAAGTTCTGTCTGACCATTTTCTTGGAGGTTATGAACTTCATTTCAAACTAGAAAACATTAACTGAAATGTCTCCTATAAAAACATTACTGAATATTTGTCATTCCCTTATATAACAAGTCCGTCTCTCCCCCCCCCCCCCCCCCCCGCAGCTAAATTCTTCATTCACAGAGAGACATACTGTAGAACCAACTCGGTCAGGGGGTGGAGATGGGTACAATGGCAATTGAATACCCAAAGGTACTTTTTTAAAAAAGGCAACTGGACTGTTTTTGAGGAAGAAAGAGGAGGAGAAGGAGGAGAAGGAAGAAAAGAAGAAGAAGAAAAAGAAAAGAAAAAGAGGAGGAGGAGGAGGAAGAAGAGGGGAAGAAGATGAAGAGGAGAAGAAGGAAGAAGAGAAGAAGAAG